CAAGGTGGTTATAAAGTGTATTGTGGATATGGTTAGATTCAGGGTAATGCATATTACCAATTTGAAATCTCACCATACTGACAGATGGTACCTAAGCTCATAGAGGCTTCCTCATACTATGTTGAAGCTTGCTGCAGCTGATGTGAGGAATATGAGTTCACAAACTGTGGGTTGAGTGAGGGTAAGCATATACACTGTGGGGTTTCCTAATGTTTGTTATTGTTATAGGTATTCGGACCACAAGGAAGCAGAATTTTGAGTGTGTGCCATATACTATGAGGGTTGAGTATAGTGTGAGGAATAAACAAGCACCTAACCCAAAATCACTAGCCATAATGAGAGAAACTAACATGTTTTTATATATTTCCTGTATCTCTTTCTTTTGCAGGTATATGGAGCAGTGTTTCCCGAGTGATGTGAGTATATATAATTGTGGGTTGAGTGTAGTGAGCATCTATATATGTGATGTAAAATGTAAATTGTCATTGCTTCTTGAATGTTACTTGTTTGTGGATCGATTAATTTTGTTTTGGTATCTGATGATGACAGGGTTTATTATAATGTCTAAACTCTGTTTGGGATGCATGGGATGGCAGCAAAGTATCTCCCTGGATGGTGCTGTTTGGTTTGGTATTCAGTCTTGGTTCCTTCGTGTGTTGGAGCTGGCTGTGTTTGTGGTGATGGCTGCTAGAGGCGCCTCTTGTGCAAAGAAAGTCTTTCCTTTATGTTTGTTTTATTTAGGGTGTTTTGTTAGCTTGGCCTACCCGTGCGGAATGTGCATGGAAGTACAAAGTAGTGTGTTTCATTCTGGCTATTTGCTTCTTAGCTGCTGGGTGTGTTCATGCTCCTCATCAAATCTGCATGCGGCCTATGAACATATTCTGGGTTATTTTTCTATTATGCTTGGGTTTTCTAGTTTAATTCTATGTTTTCTTGCTTTCATTTTGTCCAATTAGATATGTTTTGTTAAACAGTTTATACTGGTTTGGACTAGGCTTCTTGCGGTTTTATTTTGTTCTATTTTGGTTTTGATTCTGCTTCTTGTATAGTGCTTGGCTAGGGCCTAGGGTATGCCCCTTGTAGTGGTGTAATTTTTTTGTCTTTTTATTTTATTACTTATCCACCCAAAAAAAAAAATGAAGAGAGGAAAAAAGATAGAGGTCTTAATGAATTCAAAAGGGCAGCAAGAAGTGTAATGATTTCAAATCTCTAACGTGATGTATTGAACTGGCCTCAGATGATGTCAGGCGACGTGGCACAAGACTAAAGCGATAGCTCTGATTAATGGACGTGATGAGTACACACTAACGAGGTGGTGCCTGTGTCTTGACGGTTTTGAAGTTTGTTACAAAAACAAACTTCAAATCTTCATTTTCTTTAACTAGCGAGTCACAACCTCAGCTAGTAGTGCGATCCCAGTTGAAATGTCAATCTTGGATAAGAAAGAACATTTTAGTTATAAGTTTTTGATGAGTGGACAAATGCAAGTCCTTGTTTAGTAAAGCGGATGAGTAAAGATCTCGGTTGGAGTAGCAATCATTCATCATGTTGTTTAGCCGACATATTGAGAGGAAAGATGATGTAGGTTCCATCACCTTAGTTTGCCAAGGTAATAGAACCTAGGGATAATTATGGGGACAAATTTTTAGAGTTGTTCACGTGGCCCAAGATGTTAGCTGAGGTGCCACATAGGAGAACCAAGTTGCCAAAGTTGTTAATATGTGGTCGAGATGTGATGCGGTAATACCGGAATCTGAGATATTCGGATAAAGGGCAAGAGTCCTAGATAGTTTGAGGCTCTTTGTTCGGATAGAGATGAGACTCTTCAAAGAGTTCATTCTAATCTAGATTAGAGGAGTCCGAGATAGATATTATCCCTGAAAGGGATAGAGTCCTATGAGGTGAAACTTCTAGTAGACGAAGGCACTGATGATTATAAAAGGTAGGCACCCCTATGAGTCTAAGGTATGTTTTTATTTTGTAAGCTTTGTGATTGAGTTGATATCTTTGAGAGATAAGTTTGCTGACTTGATCATCGAAGTGTTCCCGGTGGACAAGCCACCATGATGTTTATTGTCTTCTTGTGTGCTGGTATTCAGTTTCTCTATTCTTTCGTGTGCTCTACGGTTAAGTTCCTTAGATATCGGTTAGGAGATCTAGTTTGGTTGTGAGGTAAAAAATCAACACCCACACTTGTCCTATTAAATCATTGAATATCATTTTGCATTATCAAATTTTATTATTAGATTCCATATCAATTTGTTAAAAAATAATAATTATATAACTTTTTCCTGGAAGCTTTGATTGGCATTTGGAAATATGTATCTGTCCAAAAAATCCTTCAAAAAAATTAATTAATGAGAACTATTCTCATAAATGGGAATTAAATTTTTTTTTTTTTAACGAAAAAAAAGGATGCTCTATGGGAATATCACATTATCCGCAGGCCCTAGCTCTGGAGTAACCGATTGACGGCCAAATTTAACCCTATCAAAATGAAAGAATCCACCACCAAAGCACCCAATGGAGCTCAATCACGTGCCACAGAAGAGTTCAAGTATCAATTGGAGTATAACGCTGGATCTCTGAAGATAGGTAACTTGACAAAGTCAGCATTCCGCATCCCTCAGAAGTTGAACCTGACACATTCCTGTCCAAAGAACACAAGACCACCACCCTGGTGATAATAAATGGGAATGACTAATTCTTCCTAATTTGGATCTTCAATAGTGAGTCAATGATCAAATAATCTCAGTGACAAACAGCATATAAATAGCTTATAAACATGAACAAGGTGGTCCTCATTAAATTGATTTGTTTGTTCATTTTTGAACTACCGTAAAGCAAGCCAATAGATGCTATGTTAATGTGCAAGTTGTTCATTTAAGAATGACAACTTGCCTTGGGCCCACTCGATCGTCCTCTTCTTCTTCTTCTTTTTTCTTTTTTCTTTTATTTTTTTATTTTTTTTTTTAAAGAAATGGGAGCACAACTGTTATTATTGTGCAATCATATAAACCTATTTTGAGATCTATTTCGATAATTCAAACCGTTTACTTTTTAAAGTACACCAATTAAAATATACCTGTAAAAATTTAAGTTGATAAAATACTGCTAACCATTTTATCGAATCACATATTATATAAATTTTGCGTGTTTATATTTATAATTTAATTTTCTAAATATTCATATTAAAATGTCAATATTTATCTCACTATTTTTAATTTTAAAATTTTCCTAACTATTATCACTCATTAATCATTATAACTTATTTTGAATGGGATCATTATACTACTGTTTAAATATGGGTTCATATATTTAGACTATTTATACACTAAAAATAAGTGGGTGAACAAATCAGTTCCTAGGGTGGAGGCCTAGATGACTAAAAACAATTTTATGCTTATTTTAAAAGGATAATAAAATCACTTACGTAATTTTATAAATTTAATTTCAATCAACACACTGTTACACTATATAAACAAATAAAATTATTGTTACATTAACAACTTAAAGTTACTAAATTAATAACCTCATCAGTAAATCTTATTTTTGATTGAGTAATATTATAAATCTAAAAATTACTTAGAATTATTAGTTCAAATTTTTTTACACATGAAATTCACATTACATAAATCCAATCTCAACCGTACAAGTCTCATTTGGGATAAATTCGAAATGCATAATTAGGATTTATAGCATTTTTCTTTTAATTTCAACTAATTTTAACCTGACAAGTAATGACATGTTAAAATATCCTTTTATTATATAAAAAATAAAAATAAAAGTGTAGGGACCCAGAATCTGCGAACTTATAATTGTCCAACAATAGATGTGTGGTAAAAATTAAATTGATGAAATGTAGGGTTTACGAGTGAAATAAATTTGAATCATTTATTTATTCATATTTGTAGATAAATTATAGATTTGCAGTGTTGTTGGTTTTTACTCCCTCCGTCACAATTTATTTATTAATGTGATAGAGAGGTTATGTGACTTAAATATAATGGTGATTTTGTGACTTTTTGACTTTTTTAGTTTATACCAAACAAGGCGTAATAAAAAGATATGTAATCATTATATTTTAATTTTAATTTTTAAATATTTTTCTTCCATTGCCCTTGTATCTAGATTTTAAAATGTGTTTATAATGATTTATAAGAGATAATTTTAAAAATTTAACAAAATTTAATATCTCAAAATAAAAAAAAAATAAATAAATATTTCAAATCAGATTAAAATTAAAAAATGAATCAATAAAATAGGACGGCCGGTGTATAATTGAAGAGCAATAGTGAAAATACGGAACGGGTCATATAACAGTCAATAGATGTTGAAAGGACTTGTGGAAGAAAAGTCGCCGCGGACGGCTGCTGGCTGGCTGCTGCTGCTGCGAAAGAGCAACGCGGTTGTATTCTATTTTGTTTTTATTTTGATTGTGTCAAATTGGGTATTTCTTTTGACTTGGAACTTTGAACTTGGAATAGGAATTGGTCTTTAATAAGATTCCCCACACACCACACCCACTCCAAAAGGACCCCACTCACTCTCTCTCTCTGAATTCAGTCCACTCCCACCACTTGGTCGTTAAGGAAACTCAAACAAAACGTGCTTGATCGTTAAGGAAACTCAAACAAAACGTGCTTGGCTACGCAATTGGTAGAATAATGTAACTTTGAATACATATACAGAGAGAGTAGTGCTACTCTTACTTTCCTAACACTACCACACACCACACCCACTCCAAAAGGACCCCACTCACTCTCTCTCTCTGAATTCAGTCCACTCCCACCACTTGGTCGTTAAGGAAACTCAAACAAAACGTGCTTGATCGTTAAGGAAACTCAAACAAAACGTGCTTGGCTACGCAATTGGTATAATAATGTAACTTTGAATACATATACAGAGAGAGTAGTACTACTCTTACTTTCCTAACACTAGTGACGCACCTTCCCCTTTCCTTGTTTTCTCCACGTTCTTGTATATAAGCCTCCCCCACCCCACTCATCTCACTCACTCCAAAACTTCCAACGACTCTCTCTCTCTCTCTCTCTCTCTAAAATACTCTGTTATTGAATTTGGTTTCTAAAATGGCTCTTGAAGCTCTCAACTCACCCAGCGCCGCCACCCCTACCTTCCACCATGAAAACGAAAGCCTAAGGTATCTGGAGCCCTGGAACAAGGGCAAGCGCTCAAAGCGTCCTCGTATGGAAAATCCTCCCACTGAAGAAGAGTACCTCGCTCTCTGCCTTATCATGCTTGCTCGCGGCGGCCCCACCTCCTCCGCCTCGCAACGCCGCCACTCCACACCTCCTCCATCATCCTCCTCATCGGAGTCAAAGCTCGTCTACAAGTGTAGCGTATGCGACAAGGCCTTTGCCTCCTACCAGGCTCTAGGCGGTCACAAGGCCAGTCACCGGAAGCTCGCCGGATCTGACGACCAGTCCACTAGTACCTCCACGGGTACCACCACCGTAACCAGCGGTGGTAGGACGCATGAGTGCTCCATCTGCCACAAGTGCTTCCCCACTGGACAGGCTTTAGGTGGACACAAGCGCTGCCACTACGACGGCGGCAGCAGCGGCGTCACTTCGTCGGAAGGTGTGGGGTCTACCAACAGCCACCGAGGTTTCGACTTGAACCTGCCTGCTGCCCTGCCCCAATTCTGTCCTCGATTCGCCGGGGAGGAGGAGGTCGAATCACCTCATCCAGCCAAGAAGCCCCGTTTTCTATTGTCGGCTAAATCCCAAGTCTCTCTTTCTATATCACTAGATTAGCCGATTAGGATCACAATTTAGGGATTTCGGGGAATTAATTTAGAATTTTTTTTTTAACTTCCCCTTTTTTTCGGCTGATGCATTATTATTTGTTGTCTATGTATTTATCATGTGACAGTGGAAATTTAAATTTATTCTTTTGTTGCTTAAAAAACGATGTACTTGTTATGATGCAATTCTTACCTTGTTTTGAATTTTATTTTTGTAAGGTTTTCAATTAGGCTTAAATTTTCAGTTGCACATTTTTAGGTTTTGAAGAATGTTTTCTTTCCTTGCCAAGAAAATATATATAGGGAAATTTTAAAATACACTATTTTAAAAATTGTATAACATATGCATCTCTAATTATATTGTCACAAGAATATTTCATCTGGGTAGTCTTATTAACGGTCGTGAATTGATTAAAATATTCTTTTATAAGTACTCAGAAAACCTTATTTGTGTTGTGTTTGTTCTGTTTGATTCATGAATTTTGAAATAAAAACAAAAAAAGGTGCGTGAATGTATATAAAATGTAACTTTATTTTATACACATTTCTCTTATTTTTTTCATTTTCTTTTCTAAATCTCTTCACAAATTATAAACCAAATACAACATTGAAGGGATAATTTTGTCATTTATAGAAGATACCATTGCATAATGCTTGATTAAGAGGGTTGTCGTTAGCACTTACATAATTTCTTCAGACCTCCCATTTCTTTGAATTTCCACCTTAAATCCTAAATTTTAATAAGATTTCTTTTAACGCTCCATTTAATACCAATTTTACTCATATACATAACATCATCACACCTAAGTGCACATCCACCTAAATTTGCACACCATCTCTTCTTCTTCTCACAGTAAACGATGAACGATTGAGAGACAATTTAGAACAACAAATGATTGAAACACGAATCGACTGTCCCTCTCTTTTCCTTCTCTCACAAACGATGGTCTCTTTCTTCTTATCACCATGAACAATAATATTTGAGTCGGAAATCCTTTTGATGGTCTCTTTCTTCTTCTCTCAAGTAACCTCCAACTTTCCATCCATATTATTTTTTTGTTTATTTCGGAGTAAAACCCTTAGAAAAAACATATTAGGGGAAAAATCTTACAAAATTTCGGAGTAAAACCCTTAGAAAAAACATATTAGGGGAAAAATCTTACAAAATGGAATTGTTTAGCATTTTAGTGCCGAACAAAATATTTATGTTGAGCACTATATTATTGAACTAAATGTTTTTTGTTCAATACTGTATTACTGAACAAAATCTTAATTGTCAGCAACCGGTACTGAACCGAAAACGACCTAGAATCATAAATGCAAGATAGATAAACTTACACATGCAATGCCAACCTCATTAGAGTTGTTTTTATCATCCTCCATTACTCTATAAGTATTAAAGAATGGTGAAAACAAATACCAATGTAGAAACTCAAAGTCTGTAACTGATTTGGAGCATCGAACACATTTGAAACCACCGAACAAAACGAAACGTTAACTAATTAGGTGGTTTCAAATGATTTTCATTGAAGATAAATATATGGATTAGGATGGTGATGAAGAAGAATACGATTAGGGTTTAGATTGGTAATGAATATGTATAGATGGGGAAAGAGATGGGTGTACAATATTATAGAGTGTCATTCTAATTATTTTCATTTGGTAGGTGGGTGTTCCATTAATAGTTGTCCTTTAATAAAATTTTATTTCAGGATATAATGGTATTTAAAAAAAAAAAGAAGTGAGAATTGAAAGGTCTAAAAAAATTAAGTAGGTGCTAATAACAACCCTCTAAATTACATTAAGCAATCATTTCTATTTGGTCAAATGTAATTTTTATTTGAGCAATGCTAAGCATACAATACAAATTATCAATTTTTTTATTTTTTTATTTTTTTTATTGTAACTGTATTGTTTGGAAAATGGCAAGTCGGCTACAAATCTAAGGTGTCGTTTGGTAATACTTACGTTTTCAGTTTTCTGTTTATATTTTCAAAAATTTTAAAAACTCAAACAAAAACTTGTTTGGTAAAATTTTTGATTTATAAATCAGTGGTCTCAGTTTATAAATTTGGCCAAAAAATTCTCTCAGGTAACCTCCAACTTTCCATCCATATTATTTTTTTGTTTATTTCGGAGTAAAACCCTTAGAAAAAACATATTAGGGGAAAAATCTTACAAAATGGAATTGTTTAGCATTTTAGTGCCGAACAAAATATTTATGTTGAGCACTATATTATTGAACTAAATGTTTTTTGTTCAATACTGTATTACTGAACAAAATCTTAATTGTCAGCAACCGGTACTGAACCGAAAACGACCTAGAATCATAAATGCAAGATAGATAAACTTACACATGCAATGCCAACCTCATTAGAGTTGTTTTTATCATCCTCCATTACTCTATAAGTATTAAAGAATGGTGAAAACAAATACCAATGTAGAAACTCAAAGTCTGTAACTGATTTGGAGCATCGAACACATTTGAAACCACCGAACAAAACGAAACGTTAACTAATTAGGTGGTTTCAAATGATTTTCATTGAAGATAAATATATGGATTAGGATGGTGATGAAGAAGAATACGATTAGGGTTTAGATTGGTAATGAATATGTATAGATGGGGAAAGAGATGGGTGTACAATATTATAGAGTGTCATTCTAATTATTTTCATTTGGTAGGTGGGTGTTCCATTAATAGTTGTCCTTTAATAAAATTTTATTTCAGGATATAATGGTATTTAAAAAAAAAAAGAAGTGAGAATTGAAAGGTCTAAAAAAATTAAGTAGGTGCTAATAACAACCCTCTAAATTACATTAAGCAATCATTTCTATTTGGTCAAATGTAATTTTTATTTGAGCAATGCCAAGCATACAATACAAATTATCAATTTTTTTATTTTTTTATTTTTTTTATTGTAACTGTATTGTTTGGAAAATGGCAAGTCGGCTACAATTCTAAATGATGCTGCTTATTTATTCAATTATGTCTCATTTGGGGATAAATTATTTTAATTAAAAATTTATTATGAATTATCACATCATTCTCTCTACTTTTCTACATATTTTTAATAAAAAATTAAAATAAATTATTTCCAAACGAAATCTTATTTATTTAATTTTCTTGCGCGTGTGAAGGCTGAATATGGGCATGAGAAAATATTGACTACCAACAAGGGCGAGGACGTCCATTAAAGTTGCCTTGACTTTCACTAAGGTGCAGGAGAAAAATTTGGACTACAAATCAAACTAAAATAAAAATAAAAATAAAAATAAAAACGACAATGCTATGTACCTCAAATTTTGTAACTCAAAAGTGGTTTAAATGGCCAAAACGACGTCGTTTTGGCCATTTGAACCACTTTTGAGCCACAAAATTTGAGTTACGAGACATTTTCCAAATAAAAATAAGATTTATTTTTTTAACTTTTAATAACAATTGTTCTAAATATAGTGATTAATAAATTATCATTAATAATTATATCTTTTTTGAGACTACATTGAATAATTATATTATAAATTATCTAGATACTTTCAAGCATTGTCACATCCTATACGTATGATTATAAGAGATTTGCTATGCACGAAATAATTATACATATTTTTAGTTAGAGAGCTTTTTTATAAATTTACTTTTTAAGAGTTTTATTCTATTCAATTCATATTCTTTTTGACTATTTCATTAGGTCCTATTTGACATAAGAAGACCAAAATACCTTTTTCATCTACTTATGTTCCATTTAGTTCACATTATTTTCTTATGTTTCAATAAGTCTTATGAGTGACATAATTATCAAAATACTCCTAATGTGAATGTTCACACCGTCAATGTGAATGTTCATATCATCAATGTGTAGGGACTCGACCCATGTCGATCCTCGTGGGTGTCCGGAAAAATTCGAGTCGGGCCGGGGCGGGCCCGGCCCATTGACAATGTAAATATTCACATTGACATGTTAACATTCACATTAATAGGAGTGTAAAATTGGTTCGCGTCCCGTGGCGGCGCGAAACCCGCCCGCGGCCCATGGGCAGCCCGGGCGCGGGCCCGGTCCGGCCTGTTAACAATGTGAATATTCACATTGACATATTAACATTCACATTGATAAGAGTATAAAATTGACCCGCGGCCCATAGGCGGCCAAAAGCCCGTCCACGGCCCGACCCTGTTGACAATGTGAATATTCACATTGACATATTAACATTCACATTGATAGGAGTGTAAAATTAGCTCGCGCCTCGTGGCTGCCCGAAACCCGCCCACTGCCTGTGGGCGGCCCGAGGCGGGCCCGGCCCGGCCTGTTGACAATGTGAATATTCACATTGACATGCTAACATTCACATTGATAAGAGTATAAAATTGGCCAGCGGCCCAGGGCGAGCCCGACCCGGCCCGTTGACACTAGCACAATTGCTTCAAACCCAGCAGATACCCCCCAAGCACTTTGGACACGAGGTCGCTGACTCAATCGATCTGAGGATCTAATTGACGGACAGCCCATGTTAACATTCACATTGATAGGAGTGTAAAATTAGCCCGTGTCTCGTGGCTGTCCGAGACCCGCCCACTGCCCATGGGCGGCCCGGGGCGGGTCTAGCCATTTTTTTTAATTCTTTTTAATTTTTTCTACCAAAATTTTATTATTTTCCACAAAAAAAGACACTAGGCCTCGGCGCGGACTGGGCCTCGAACCAAGCCTTGAATGGGCCTTAACCGGGCCGATGAGCCAGGCCGGGCCGGGCTTCAAAGTGATGGCCCAGGCCCTAGCCTAGGGTCTCGGACTAGGCTCGAGCCTGGGCCCAAATGAGCCTTTCCCGGGCCGGGTCGGGCCGGCCCACGGGCCAAAAAATTAGGCCCAAGCCCTAGCCCTAGCACAAGGGTATTTAGGCTTTGGACGGGCCGATGGATCGAGCCTGGGGTCGGGCCGGTGGGCCTGGGCCTAGCCTCGAGCTTAGGTCGGGCTTGGGCGGGCCTAGCAATTTTTTTTTTATTTTTTTAAATTTTTTCTACCAAGATTTTATTATTTTCCACAAAAAAATACATTGCGCCTCGGGCGGGCTGGGCCTCGGACCGAGCCTTGAATGGGCCTTAAGCGGGCCGATGGGCTGGGCCGGGCTTCAAAGTCACCTAGGCCCTAACCTATGGTCTCGGACATGCTTGGGTCCGGACCGAAACAAGCCTGTCCCAGGTCGTGGACGGGCTTCAGGCAGCCCACGGGTCGTGGGCCAA